ATTAAGCAATTGGTAATTAAATATTTAATTTGTTTTCCCTAAACAGTGTAAAATTTAGGATTTTTTTTTTCACGAACATTAATTGTCTCGCACAACGAGTCTGTGTGCAAAATGTCAGCTCGATTGGATCACGGGAAGTGGGTTAAAAAACGACCGAAAGATTTGCACGGTCGTAAGCAAGCAAGCACGCAAGCACGCAAGCAAGCAAGCAAGCAAACTTAATATAAAGGATTTAAAAATACAACGCATCCGTCAATAACACTGTTGGAAAAGGAAAATATATATATATATACACAGCAAAAGCTCAGTTATCCCGGCACTTTGCTATCCGGAATGCTCTATTAACCGGAATCAGACGGCAACATAAATCTTCCTTCACGTATGCGACAGCCACCTGGCATCTTGCCGTGCGCTTATCTGTTATTTACGGAAACTTCAGCATTGCTGCGGTAGTCTGTAAAGTGTACCGTACGACTGTGTACTGTACTCTAAACGGTCCCACTACTTCTCTACAATCCACCGACTGGTGAGCCCCTCTGTAAGAGAGTCGATTATTATTTCTTACATCGGAGCTAACATGCAGGCTTTCAGTTTCTTCCTTGAAAAGTTTCACGTACTTGAAATACATTTAGCGAAGCATATAAGCCTAACTCGCAGATAAAACCGGCGTATTTGTTCAAACGGTATCCTCCATTCCCCATGGAAGCCACATCACCAAGTTATTGCTGTACTAGGCAACGTTTCGGGCAATGGCACATCTTGGTGCTTCTTCATAGCAGGGATATCTGGAGAACTGCTCAATCGCTCAAATGCTATGTATCATGCAATGTGTAGAAGGGGAAAAAAGTGATTATAGAATTATTTTATTATGTTTTATTTTTATTATTTTATTAGTTCCCTTCTACGTGACTTTACCGAAAGAACCAAGAAGATGAATCCCTGCAGTCACGAAAGCTTTCAATCGAAATTTAAAGTGATTATAGTTACATACTAAGAGTTTATAATAAAAGTTACAGGCAAGATTTGTATAAAAGACCATTTTTTTAAAACAGGATCATTAGATTTTCATGGATAAACTTTATGGGTTGTTAGCTGTGCGGAATATAGTAAAAAAAAATCCCATCATATTTTGATTTAAAAAAGAAAGCCTGGAGAAAAAAATAATAATACACAACACCATTGAATGAAAATCACAGAAAATGTGGCCATGAAACAACGCTGCAAAAATGAGGGCCTCTTGTGAAACGCTGCTGCTGCTGCTGCTGCTGTCTGTCCCGCATGTAATGAACGGAACACGCAAAGCCAGAGTGGATTCCGGCTGGGCCTGTGCATTGCCAAAGGCGGTGAACTGGGGGGGGCTCCTGGTCAGATCCAATAGGCGGCAAATGGGTGTGGGGGGGGGGCACAACGTGGACGGAATCATAATGTTTATTTATTCTGGAGGAATCCGATGAGCTTTCAAGCTCTTTTTCACAGATGTCCTGTCGGGGCAGATAAGAACGTTGCAACAGCAAAACGTACAAAAACACGATCGGAGTGCAAAGTACGATTTGGGTACCGGGCCCCTGGCCATATCCAATTGGTTGGTTGCAAATTCACTCGCTTTATTGACAATGGAATCAATTTATTCGAACCAATTATAATTGAAAGGCGACATGGTCACGCGTGCACACGCGCACATGCATGCGTCCGTTCAGCTCTGTTGCGCGTGTCGTCACGGACACATTTCGGTGTGTGACCGTTGCGTGCATTCCGTTGGTGTAAAGAAACGTTGGTGCTTCAGCAGCTGATGAAACGATAATTCGATTCTTACGCATGGCAATCTGTTCAAGAGCTAAATGTCAATGTGGAGGTCTGATAGCCACGAGAGCGCTTCAGGAGGGAGTGTGCAGCTCTACTATTCCTCCGTAGAAGGAGCGTAGACTACAGCGGCTTACTGCATGGTCCGTAGTTTTAGTTACAGGGCCACAATCACACTGCTGTGGCTTGTGTCTTGAATTTTCCATTCATGAAGAAGATGCGCACGTCGGCCTGTTGGAGTTCTGATGCGGTTGATGGTTACACCACCGGTGTCAAGGAGGAGGAGTTTGGGTCTCAAATGTGGTATTGAAACCATAATGTACTGTATCTTTACAAAGTCCTATTGGCCAAAGCATCAATACGAACATTACATATTTAAAGTGTAACTCTCGGGAAAAAAATATTTTATGCACAATTAGTTTTAATAGACACAGCAGTAAATATCAGGCACACTGGATTATGCCAACACTGGTGAATGACTTGAAGATTGTTAGTCCGCTGTGTGCTGGCCTGCCTCACGTGCGTATTTTATCAACGCCAACGCAGCCCGCAGACTGCAGCTGCTGGAGTTTAGTTTGCTCTCAACGTCTGGTCAAGAGCAAAACTCCCCAGTGCTCAGGGATCTGCGTCGACTGCCGTGTCCACTTGAGGGTTACATTTAAAATCCTTCTGTTCACACAACACAGCGGCTTTTGCACATCGCTGGCCCCACTCGGCCGCTTTGAACCACCTAATAGTAGTTCTTCACTTCACCGCCCGATGCATCGTGACTTTGGACGGGGACGATCCTTTAGCCATCCGGATTCAACGTTCTGGAACAATATCTCCATGAACGTCAGAGGGGAAGTTCGTTTACATAAATTGAAACCTCAACTAAAGACCCGTCTTGTAATTGCAACTGTAATACACCTTGAAGCTCGCTGGATATCAGCTGTTACTGCATTTTTTCCCGATTTTACGAAATAATCTTTAGGAGACTGAACTTTTTATTATTTACACACTATATTTTCTACAGTATATCGTTATACTGACATTTATGGATTTTTTTTCTTGACATAGTCTTAAGGATTGGGCATTCGTGTATTTTTTAGCTCATGAAAAGCGCTTTAAGATTCCCTTAGTCATGTGCAATGCAACTAGATATATATCAACAAAGATTGATTGTTGCGCTGTATACCGGGCACTCTGACTGATTGATCACTTGCGGTGGGGTAAATGTGGGTATCCCAACCGTATTCATCACAAAGGTCAATAACGAAGAGAGATCTTAACACGTAGGCTTTTGCGACCAATATCATCCATGAGAGAGGTTTTTGGTTAAATCGCGGAAATATATAAATGTGTCGTTAAACCCGCCACCACCCGACACAGCCAACTAGTAAGGGTTGTCACGTAAATAGAACGTGGCCAATTCGTCACTAGTACACCACTAGTGTGTAGTGTATAGTGTAGTGTACTAGTACAGCACTAACCGGTGTGTTGGAGAGCCAAGCCACAACATTTACAATCAGAGTACGACGTTTCGCCAGTAATTACAACTAGCTTCATCAGGCACACTGGATTAAGTCAACACTAATTGACTAGTGACGAATTGGCACGTTCTGTTTACGTGACAACCCTTGCTAGTCGGCTGTGTCGGGTGGTGGCGGCGTTTAACGACACATTTATATATTTACGCGATCTAACCCACAAAACCTCTATTATGAAGAGAGAGCTAGTAAGCTCTACGTCACTTTAACACGTGGGCTTTTGCGACGTGTAGGTGGCGAATAGAGTGAAACAGCGCCAAGTGATAATGCACACAATAAACACAAGGTAAAGCCCTTGCTCACAAGCGGCACGAGTTCTTCCAGATTTAAAATGTTGCTCTTGTACTCAATACGTGGCATCTATTGCAAATCCAAGTTATTCGAAACGCCGGTAAAACGTATAGAACTTCACACCTCCTTCCATAAAATGTATCGTACTGGTGAACAGGACGAGCATTTATACGCTCTTTATATTTGGTGGAACAAACACATTAAAGACGGTTTCGAGTGAATTCAGCTAAATATAATAGATGCCACACGATGGGATCGCAACAATCAGCGCCCGCCTGTGAAACCAACGTGCACATCACAGCACACGACGCCGCTAATGTTCACTTCAGAGAAACCATTTAGTTTCGGAAAAAGAGTTTGGATAAAGAAAATGTCGCTCAACTTACGACAATAACAAGGAAGGAAAAGTAGGCATACGTCTTGACTTTCGTGACTGCAGGAATTCATATTCTTTGGGCCAAAATGTTCTTGCTGTGGTTTTCACACCTGATGATGATTGCTTGTGTTGCAATCGAAACGTCGTGAGAATGTTATTGTTTTATTATTATTATTTTAGTATTCCCCTTCTATGTGACTTTACCGAAAGAACCAAGAATAAGTTCAAAGAAAATAACGACCGCTTGTGTTGCGATCGAAACGTAGTTTTAGTTATTTTTTTTTTACCTATCTACATGACTTTACCAAAAGACCCAAAGAATAAGTAGGCATACGTATGAATTCTGTAACCATTATGAACGTGCGTTTTTCCTCCGAAGTATTTAATATGCGATGATAATGGGAGCACTTGTGGCAGGTGCGCAGCAAGCAGTATGTCCGTAGGCCACGATGAGACAACTAGGCTCAGCTGGGGTCAGCTTGGGAGATAATGGGCAACCCCCCTTTGATCTATGTGGCCAGTTTTGCATACGGCAAGTTCCTAATAACAACACAACTTCATATTCAAGTTCTGTTCATATCGGATCCCTTTACATGATTTATCGTACCCCTGTAACAGACAGACGAACAGAACTTAGCGCTTCTTAGCCTGAGTTTGAAAGCGTAAAAAAAAAACATGACACTTTTGATCTGTGTGAGTAAAGTTATTCCTTCGACTTCTCAATTTATACGTTTCCGCTTGTTAAACTTTTAGTTAATTTAGTAAATGGATTCTTAAGATGCATTTATAATATAATTATTTTTATGCTGAGTATCTGCTGTGTCCTGTACAGCGCTTTGAGATCCTTGACGAAAAGCGCTATATAAGTGGAATTACTGTATTGTTATTAATCAACACCCAGTGACTGTATACGTGGGAATACGTATACACCTTTAAATTAGTGACAATAGCCTTCAAATGCAAACACAATCAAACAAAACAAGAAGCTGACTTGAACACGTTACCTATCAGAGGAGTTGACGAGTATGACCAGGACGTCGGGGAAGCCGTCCATGTTGTAGTCTCCCATGTGCAGCGTGATGGGCAGGCCGAAGCCTGTGGGGCTCTCGTTGGCCTTCATCCCTTTGAAGCGCCATTCCACATCTCTGTTGCGGAAACTGCCCGACACGTTGGTCCACTGCGGGGAGAAAGAGGCGGGGAGTCGCAGTGAGCAGAAGAAGGGAGGGGGGGGGGGCACGGCATCGGAGGCAAGAGGGGCAGCAACGGGTGGCACTCAACCGCTCGCACCATCTTCACACAATACCTGGACAAACAAGTTAAAGTTAACTTAAATAATCTCCTCGCTTAAATGAGCAAAAATGTAATTTTGGATGTTACGTTCTTCACCGACTTGTATGTACGTATATTGAACTTATTTCGTACTGTGCGTAGCCAACTGTGCTTATCATAGGCGCGAGGGAAGGACAACCGACTAAACACAAAAAGCACTTCTAAAGAAATGAGGCTTCAATCTAGATGATTTAAAAGTGCACAGCGCCAGTGGCTTCCTAATATTGGAAGGTAGAGCGTTCCAGACAGCCGGAGATGCGCATCTAAAAGAGCGCGATGCAGTGGCCGTCTTTGTTCGATGGCCAGCCAAAAGCCGCTGTGAGGATGAACGGAGTTCGCCTGATGGTTTATGCACCTTGACGAGATCAGTAAGGTATTTGGGTTTATTTGTGAAAAGCACTTTGTGTGTAATGAGTGCTACCTTACAATGTATTCGTTCGGCAACCGGAAGGCAATGCAGCTCAGGAGACAAGATTGCCTTGCAAAATTGCAATTGTACCTTTGGACAGTCTACCTAACCCACGCGGAATAAGCAATAATTTCAGTTTTGATCAACAATTATTGCTTTTAAGTTGGATTTCACGAGAATATGGAATTATGCTTATTTCTATCGCAACATTGTTACTTGTAATCCTCCACTAAACTTGACATTCACATTTTAAAATGGGCCAGCAGCGTCTGCTGCGGGCTTAAGGGACGACGGTTCTTGTTGGGTAAAATAGGGCCTTTGATGTGATCAAAGGTTTTCTTGGAAAGAGGGCTCTAAGGGAGATCGTGCTGAATTGTTTGAGATGGGAATGCGATTTTTCCCCCCTTCCAAACCTGAACCCTAAAAGGCCAACATGACAGCCTGGGACATACAACACTTTTACTGATTTGTTCATGAAATCATTGGATTTAATATTCACTAAATCCATTCAGATTACCCTACTGGCCAGTCTGATTTTTTTTTACAGTTTACCAACAAGCAGATGCTAGAGTTGAAGTGAATTAAATTGTCCCTTTTTCTTTTAAAGCGGGAGCCCTCATTAACTCTATTGACACACCTGGTGTTGACAAAACAGAAAGAAAATACAAACACCGGCACACTGGCTCGCTTATCTAATTGGACACAATTACATTTGGCTACAGCACTACCTTATAATCTTGGGGGGGGGGGGAAAGATTTCACCGTTAAATGAAAATTTCATTCAACTGCTTCTCAGCAGACATTTTTTGGGTGAGCTTTGCCGAGCAAATGCCAATAATGGAGAATGAGTGCAGTGTTGCGAGGCTTCCATTGTGTGCAGTTTCCATATCGGCAAAAAATGTGGCGCACTGCGAATTCGGCGAGTGAAGCCAAAGTGTCCGTGTTTTATATACACACGTTTTTGCCTCATTTTCATTTAAGACTAACATCATTTTTATTATTAACCTTGCTTCCCTTCCTGCGGGGTTTGATGATAAACGTCTTGGCTGCCTGATGCCGTCACACGCCTGCTGTTGCTGTGGCTGCTGGACTGAGTCTTGAGAAAAATGTCAAAATGTGAAAGGGAGGTGCGATGGAAATTGCTCGATGATTGACGCCAGCGATTTGTGCCCCTATTTTACGTTTTTTGCTTCAGAGTTGGCCACCGTTTTGCTGCACGGCTAAGTTTTGGCGATCCATCTCCACAGATTATCCAGGTTGCAGATTAAGCACGTCTGCAGAAATGAAAAAGATCATATATTCGTACGCACGACAGTTAAATTATTGTACGCGTCTCACTTGTCATGGGTCAGTGGACTCGGTGCCCATGTGACCACAAATGTCAGCAAGATAAACCGATTACTTTAAGGGGCAATAAAAACAGAAGGCACATTCTACATCATCATCACCATTCTACACAAGTAAACAAGACGTGTTTATAGCCTCATTTGCATAGGGGTTTTGTAGATCCGGGTTTTAGTTTTATGCCGGGCCAGCTCCCCCATCCCTCATTGCCCTACATAATCTCGATTTGTTCATTGTGATTGTTCCGTTAAATGTAATAAGGACACGGCTCAATTTAGTTACCAGCATTGTTCAGATAATAACAAATTCTTTTTGCTTATTTCAGTCGTAAAAAATAACATTTGTTTAGCATACATGTTATAGGAAGCTAAAGAAAACTCTTTGCCTGGATGCCAATATTAGAATTGAGATTAAATCAATAAACAAGTATAACCCGTAAAAACTAAGTTTTTCACTATAAATCCTTTATATGCGTGGCGGCTAGAGTCCTCTCGTCCTCTGGCTTGAGATGGCTGCCACCTATGGGTCAGATGATTGTCTGCCAGTATTAAGCAATTGGTAATTAAATATTTAATTTGTTTTCCCTAAACAGTGTAAAATTTTGGAAAAAAATTTTCACGAACTGTCTCGCACAACGAGTCTGTGTGCAAAATGTCAGCTCGATTGGATCACGGGAAGTGGGTTAAAAAACGACCGAAAGATTTGCACGGTCGTAAGCAAGCACGCAAGCACGCAAGCAAGCGAACTTAATATAAAGGATTTAAAAATATACAATTTTCAAGTCATATTTACCTTAGGGGTGACAACATTGGGCAATGAAAGGATAAAAAAGCACAAACGAACCCTATTTCAAAACTCACCTTGGGCGAACTCAAAAAGTACCTTCACCTATGCAGGAAACGTTCCCTTCGCCGAGCATAATAGACCCTGTACTAGTTCCTGTCAAGTGCTGCCGGGACCCACCATTTGAAAACGTTAACTTGCCGCCCCCTCGTCTATGGTTGAAACATTTGGGAGCACTAAACCCTTTGGGGCATAGAGATCCTTTCCCTGAGGCCTCAAGAGTGTCCTCGCGACGCTGAGTTGCTCAGGTGCACACCTCTGGATGGGGAACCGACAACAATCCGTTCTCATCCCAACTTCTGAAGGCGTTAACGTACCTTGACTCAGGAACAATTAAATGCCGAGAGGGGGCATCTCTCGCAGTGATCATACGGAGTAATTGAGACACATTCGGAAGTACTGCCAGAGCCCTGATAGAAGATTTATGCTTCTTGGTTTTTTCTCACGACGTTTCGGCCACAACGCAAGCAGCCGTCCTCAGGTGAAGAACAGGTCTGTCAGACTCTGTCATCTCGACAGACCTAAATTTCGATTTAAAGCTTTCGTGACTGCAGGGATTCATCTTCTTGGTTCTTTCGGTAAAGTCACGTAGAAGGGAAGTAATAAAATAATAAAAATAATGTGTTTAAAAAATAAAACATAATAAAATAAAATATTTTATTTTATTATGTTTTATTTTTATTATTTTATTACTTCCCTTTTACGTGACTTTACAGAAAGAACCAAGAAGATGACTCGACAGACCTGTTCTTCACCTGAGGACGGCTGCTTGCGTTGTGGCCGAAACGTCGTGAGAATAATTTTATTTTTATTATTTTATTATTTCCATTCTACGTGACTTTACTGAAAGAACCAAGAAGATGAATCCCTGCAGTCACGGAAGCTTTAAATCGAAATTTAGATTTCTGCTCTTACCCATATCCGTTAAAAGTGTCTCGTGTGAGGTCAGCTTGTCAGCATCAGAAGGAGCCGAATGAGTTGCACTCCTCTGAAGGAAAGGTAAACGCCTATCACCCTGTCAATCAGTACTCGCACCTGCAGCAGTGCTCTTACGTGCACACCGTGCACCACGCTTCATTAAGCCTAACAACTGCCTGCAGCATCCACACGCATTATTGAGGTGTTAGAGATATGTAATGTTACCACGAAGCGCTCTGATAAATAGGTTAACCTTGCATAAAGTCAATGTGCTGCATTTATTTAGGTTTGGAAAATTGCATGTAATTTTTCATCTCTACTGTCACGCTAACATTTCATTTCGGATGCTGAAAAGCTGATATAGGAATGTAATAGGATCTGCTAAATGCACTTAACTCCAATAAATTTTAAACGTATTCCTCGCTTGATAATATAGTAATATAGACGCGTGGAATATTTTACGAGGAGGTTTTTTTACAAGTTCTTTTGTTCAGTACAACTGGCAAGGTATTATTCATTGCATACGCAAGTGCTACTTTCTTTTTTACATTCTCGCTATTGTACTTGCTGCACGTGATGCAACTAAGGTGTCCCACCCGATCAAAACATGCACGTGTTTCAGTTGTACTGTAATACTCTTAACCTGGATATTTTCAGTTTAACACATAGGCATTCGCGCCCAATATCATCCATAATACAGGTTTTTTATTGGGGTTAGATCGTGTTAATATATAAATGTGTCGTTAAACCCGCCACCATCCGACAGGAACGAAACAGGAGGATTTCTCCACAAATCTGGCTGCCTGAAGAAGCTAGTTGTAATTACTGGCAAAACGTCGTACTCAGATTGCAAATGTTGTGGCTTGCTCTCCAACACACCGGTGTGCTGTACTAGTAACGAATTGGCATGTTCTGTTTAAGTGACAAACATTACTCATTGCTGTGTTGGGTGGTGGCGGGTTTAACGACACGTTTATATTTCCGCAATCTAACCCCCCCCCAAAAAAATCCCACCTGTATTACGGATGTATATTTTCCTCGACATTCTACAAGATCTCCCGCATAGAACATTTTTTGCACGTTATTGCACTCTCACCCGCCTTATAAGGGATATGAATAAATTAATGAATGACAGTGACTGATGACCCATGCGCGTAATTGCTGCCCAATCTCCCTTTCTTCACGAAGATAAGGCCAGGAAACTGCTGACGCGTGCCGCTGCCGACAACTATCGCCGGCCGGTAACCAGCGCAACACTGTGCACTGCAGGTGACCATCCTGCGATGATCGTAATGGCATTCGCAGATAATATCTGCCCCTCCAAGCGATTGCAACGCCACGGAATTCGTCAGCGTGCAATGCCGCCGGATTTAAAACAATTTCTCGACACACGCAGCACGCGATAAGCCGTCGCAAATGTGCCTGCCCAGCGACACAGGCATTATGCTTTGAATGCTACTTATCTAACCAAGAGCACAGGGGCACAATGGGGAACGGAATTGACTTCTCAGTCCATTACAGCTGGCGTGCTGCAATGATCAGATGCGGGCACCCTGTTGTTTTCATTTTACATTAATAACGTCTTAATGGCCAGCCGTAATGTCTTGGTTTGTGTACATGCTGATCATCACAGTAATGCTATTACAAAAACACCGCATCAACAGTGCGAGAGCTGACACGACAGAGGACGTCTAATGCCACCCGGGAGAGGTTTGAAGTGAAGTGTCTGCCCACGAGGCTATCTAGTCAACACACACAAAACAAGTCAACACGCACCACCAGAGACTTGTCAGGCAACTTGAACGTGGAATAACTTCACCGTTGTCAATGAACAGTGGCCGATCCATCGTGCAGAAAATGAAGAGAAAAATAAATGGAGGGAGGGAGGGTGAACCTAGCTCGTGTCGGAGCAAAGTGATGGGGTTTGACCTTTCGTCTGCTAAGATGGTAGTTAATACGTTTCCCTGAGCCCAGCTTGAACGCTTTAATGGGATCTGTGGTTTGGATCAGCTTCACTGCTCACATGGCTGTTGCGACTCTCCCATTGGAAAAAATTAGACAGCTCCTCTACAAACAGATAATTTTACTCACTGCTGTGACTTGTACTTAAGCCTTAACTGGCTCACACCTGCTGCTCCATTAAATACTTCAGACTATAGCAAGTGCTGCCTTAAAAAAAAACAAATCACCCCATCCAACATTGGATTATGCAGCGTCTGAAATGGGTCCAGCTCTTATGATCACATTACAGGACCGGACTCAACCACTTTAAAGCCTCCACAGCAATGAATCAACACGTGTACTTCAATAATTTTTAACACTGGACGCTACCAGGGGGTAATGATCAGGTTTTGAAAATTAATTATTGTCAGTGTGCTCAGATTTGCACGAATTGATGTAATGCAGTTCATTGTTGTTTTTGTTGAGAACTTTATCAGCAACGCTCAAGATAGACACGTGGTACACAAATGTGATCCTGGTAAACGGTTTACGCTGCACTGTCCGTGTTCATCGGGAAGGTGAGGTTCATCTCCTTCACTATTTTTTTCCGATAAAACACAAAATCTGTGATAATTCAGATCTTTGCCAAGCTACTACTGGAAGGCCCTTGCCATGGCTCGTCAGTCATGGAGGGATTTTTTGTTGTTTGCTCAACGATATTTCACCACGCTGGGTCAGTGCTAGTTGGTGAAGGGAGAGGGCCAAGATCAGTTAAGATATCATTCGTTACTGATATCGACCGGGATTCGAACTCGGGTAGTCAGGCTTCATAGCGCACTGTGCCACGCAGCCAACGTTTTTTTTCTACATGTGGATTTTATCAGTGCTTTGTGTTATTAAAGAGTTATGCATGATTAGAGAATTATGATATGGCTTTAAATAGTATATAAGGACCTTCGTAAGAATGTTTCCGAGACCTCATTATAAAAACCCTTTGACCTCCAATCTTGCAGGAGAGTGCACAAACACTAAAACGTGTAAATGTGTACATATATTCATATCATATATTACGCATTCACACACATCTCTTTCAAAACGTAAAAACATACGGTATAGAGATGGAGAACATATGACACAATAGATATTGCTGCAGACGTCTAACCAAGTCAGTGGGTGATGGAGTCAGCACGACACAGTGAGTCAGCGTGCGAGATGGCCAATGCATGCGTTAGTGTGTGGGTGTGAGCGAGCAGGTGTGTCAAGTTCAAGTTCAAGTTCATTTATTAGGTATAGCCCTGTGAGCCATTCAGCTCTTGAATCGGGTGCAACCGCAACAAACAAAAAACAAAAACATGAACAAAAAAACATCTTAAAGTGAATATGTGACCAAGTGCAAACAGAAAATCCAAGAAAAGACAGCAAAAATATTGCAGAAAAAACACCGTACACCAACGCTGTGTGCAAAAATCCCAATGGGATGCAAGTCAAACAACAACAACAACAACAACAACAACAACCACAAGACAACTTAGTCAGTGGGCAAGTTGCACGTGCAGTGTGTGTGAGCAAGAAAATGCATGCGCGTGCGAATGAGTGTGAGCGAGCAAGGGTGTAAGTGCGTGAGCGAGTAAGTGCGTGAGTGAGCGTTTGAATGAGTGAGTGCGTGTGTGAGAAAGTGAGCGATTAAAGGCGTGAGCGAGTCACTTTGTGAGCAAGTCTGCGAGTGAGCGTGTGGACGAGTGAGCGAGCACGTGACCAAGCTGGGTGAGCGAGAACGTGAGCAAGGGAGCAGGTGAGGCAGTGCGCGAGGATACCACTTGCGAGCCGGGCTTGTTGAGATAAATGACGCTGGTGTGGCACTCGCTGTCCGTGCAGCCTGGGAGCAGGTGGTCCTGACCTCCATCTCCATCTGCAAACAGCAGGGACCTCGCATTAGCATGTCAACCCCCTCTGAATACCGCGCACGTATCCCGCGCCCACCGACTTCATCTGCTGCTCCACCGTCGTTGTCAGGACGTACCCACGTCCTCAGTTTAACCGAGGTGAGGTGAGCGGCCAATGAGATTCATTTTCCCCTCACGCAAAGGAGATCTGGAAAATTGTGGCTATGTATTCAGTTGGGGAGTAATGGGCTGAATGGTCAGCGAATTGATGAATTGTCGAGATTGACGGTTGCGATTCGATTTAAGAAATCGTTCAAACATTCGTTTGCATCGGATCTCCTATAGCGGCTGTAAGAGCAAATATAAACCCATTACGAAAAATACACATAGAAAGATACATATAAAAATACATACAATTCTCAAGCACGTGAATCTATGCGTGGCATTGTGAGCTTACAAATGTATATAATCAATGACTCAATGCATTATTCTCTCCATCTTAGTCAGATAGTCGTTCATAGCGCGGTTGGCTGCGTACGATGCCAAAGAAGTTTTTTTTGGCATTTTATGGAAACAAGGACATGCCATTAAGATTCGGCTAACTGTCATAAATTAGGAGGGTAGGATGGGGGTAGGGGAGGGCGGTCGGAAATTAAACTGGAGTGTTCGTGGGTCACGCCTCCGGCACATTTCGCGGTTAAGGAAAGGGGACGCGAGATGGGATTTGTTGACTGGCGGCCCCCGACGACGTAGAAGCTGAGAGTGAAGGCGGCGAGCGGGCGAGGGTGTCCGCGCACGTTGGCTGCAGCCATCGCGGCGACGTGCGCAGCGCGACGTGACCTCCGGTGACGAGATGCTGAATCTCGGTCATGCACATCAGCGGTGGCAATCGGCACCAAAAAATTGAGATTGTCAACATCGTCACCGACGGGTTCGATAGGCATTCCGGTTTTCATAGGCTCTCGCAAATAGAAATTGTCTCAGCAATATATCAGCCGTTTTGCATTGTACTACCGAGCCAGTGCCAGGTCTGCCGACGAGCCAGCCCGTCTTGAGCGGGTCTAGATGCATGCAGATGTCACGTTGTTAACGTTCTTCACAGTGTAGCGACTGGTGTCACACATCATTAGACCCTTCCCTGGACCAGCTTGGCCCCGAGCCAAATTCAGATGTCTTGTGAAGCCAGCACATAACGGTTTGGGGTTGGCTCAGCATGGCCAACAGCCAGTTGAAAACCACCCGTAGCGTTGCAGCTTCACGCTGGCTTGGCTCGGATGTGTCAGTTGAAACGCAGTATCTAAAAACAATGGGGAATATTTATGTTTAAGTTAATGTTCTAGACAGGCATCAACCAACTACTTGTGCATTCTGTCTACTCTCCCTCGGAGCACAAGCAGGGCAGAAGGGTATATTTCAGCGGTGCGGGGAATAGAGGTGTCACGATTCACCTTCCAGTCGCTTCAATTAAACATTGCGATTCTGTGTCTCAATTTAATTTAAGAAACATTCGTCAACACCGTGGCGAATGTAGCGGCCACAAGTGGCCGCAGGAGTCACGTGAACTCATTACGTGCAGCGTAGACAAATAGAGAAACACCGATTCCTACGCGCGAGTTGGATCGTGCATGTGTCAAAAGATATTAATTGATCAATCCATGCATCGCCGAACCCCTAGTAGGGATTTAATGTTACGGAGAAAGGCGGGTAAATTCTGAGCTGGGGGTGGTGGGGAGGGGTCCTTATGTCCCACAAATTAGCACAATTACAACTGCCCTGGACCACAATCTAAATGCAATTAAGGGTAATTTTCCATGAGAGCCACGGCAGACAAATTCCCAAAGCAAAACTCCAGTCTAATTAAACCCATGGGAGTGAACTGTGGAACCTGCGATGGCCCCGTCGAAGCAACAGAAGGCTTATTATAGCCAGGAGGTGAGCGAGTTGAGGTAAGAGGAATGAGAGGTGGGACCCCAGTGAGGAGGGAGGGACAATAGCTCCATCAATAACTGTTCCAGCAAAGTCCGGTGGGAATCGGGTAAAAAAAATATATTTTTAAAAAATGCTGCCGCGCTTGTATCAAAGCATCGACAGTGCAGTGCGAGGGGCTTCCCCCTTCTGGATTGCCGCTGTTATGTGCGTCACGACTTTAATGAGGAGAAACAAACGAGAGTGAAATTAAAGTGGTCACTGTGTGGGCGGGTGGGCGGGGGAGGCTGGAAGACGAAAAATAAAAATGTGCCTTTCTGGCGATTCAACCGTAAGGTAGGGACGTGATAATTGCTTTGAAATACTACGAGACAATTGCGACGCGTGGTTAAATTTAGATTTTGTATAAATGCATTGTGCTTCCATCTAAGCATGTGTTACAACAGGCTCCGAGTATAGATTCCATTTATATTGCGCTTTCTGCAATGCAAAAAAACGGCTAATCTGTGTTTTTTATATACACGCTTCGTTTTGGAGTCGAATGATGAACAGAAGCCACTTGGAAGCTTCGTAATAATTTTTGGTGTTCCAACCGGCACTGCTCTTCCTGCAAGTTTAAACACGTAAAATCTTGTTTGTCCTGGAGACCTTTGGATGGCTTGATCGTGACGATGGTAAAAATGTCGAGTGAAATGCAGTTGCAATGTCATTCCACATGTCACGAGACATCTTACTCCAAAACAGGTTTTTGGAATTTCCCGACTCTCGAGTCCCTTGAGACCAGTCGTTGACCGCGGGGCCGCCGGCTCGTGGTCATTCGAGGACATTTGGTCAGTAGGGGCGAGACGTAAATATGAGGCTTGTCTTGGAGGCACCAGGTTTGACACTGGCGTTGGCAACAGAGGATCCCATCTTGACACTGGCCTTTGCCCAAAGAGCCCGTGGGCCTTGGCCTCAAATTCGTCTTGCGGCTCCCAGCTTTGACCTTGGCCTTGTGCCTACCGGCCTCAAACCTCAGGCTTCGTTTCGAGGGCCATAGCCTTCGATCCAAGACTCTTACGAATGCTACATTCCCACGGCCATTGAAAAGCAGGCCGATGCCATTGCTGAACTTGGCAAGTGGGCCTGCCTCAGATTTTCACTGCGGCCTTGCCCCCCCTCCTACACCTCCATCCCGTTATATGGGCCGTGTGGCTTTGCTTTCCATAGGGAGCCGCACGCCTTGAGCCGGGTAAACCTTAGAAGCAGCCGTGGGGGTTGCGGAGTCGATGCAGAAGAAGCGCAGATCCACGAACGGTGTTCGTCACTTGGGTCAAATTCAGGGTCAGGTTTTACATAATAAACATTTAAGAAATAAAAAAAATATCTGGTAGCATTGGATAGCATTTGCACGTGTTTCACCTTGTTAAAAAAACACAATAGAATGAGAGATTACGATCGTTTCCCCGCCGGGTGAGGAGGAATAAGCAGAGGAGATGGAGGGGAGGAGGTGGAGTGGAGGTAGTCCAGAACAACGGGGCTGTGCAACCACGAAGCACTGAGATATGAAACGAGCCGTGCTGGCCTTCACAGGAGAACAGCCCAGCACGGCTTGGAAAATGCTTCGTAACTGTTGAGGGAACGCTGCAGCATACAAGGGGACCAAGAGGGGAACACGTGGATTGGAGTGCAGCGCCAGTCTTGAGCACAGGCTGCTACGCATCCGTAACAGTTTTGTTTGGGTTAGATCGCGTGAATATAAATGTGTCGTTAAACCCGCCACCACCTCGACACAGGCCAATTAGTATGGTTTGTAACGTAAACAGAACGTGCCAATTAGTTACTAGTTCAGCAAACCGGTGTGCTGAAGAATAATTTCCACAACATTTAACACAGGCTAAGCATGATGTACAAAATAATGTAATGTGGTGACTTCACAGCCTTGTGCAACAAAAGGGCCTTAAAATAAGGAAAAAAAGGTAGTATCCGCACAGCGATGGCATCGCAAAACCTTACATACACTCTTAACCCAACATCAGCTGAGAATAAACTGTGAACAGTGAGTTTTTCACAACAGATGTAAAAAAAAACCCTCGAATTCCGTTTCAATTTTCATCATAAATGAATTTATGCTACAGCCAACAATGCATTTCATGGTTTTCATCTGGAGTATGAGCGTAGAGAACTGATTAAAACACTCGCAAACACACCTTTCTACGTTGTACAGCAGTATTGACTTTATCTATGCAAATTAATTGATTTACAGTCATTAATTAAATACCCTTAGGATTTTAATTGCCTCTTGGTAATATGGCAATAACCACATATAGATCGTTAGATTGGCCTGCCTTTTAAAATTAATCATCTTAAGCATTGCTGTTCATTTACATTTATGGCTCATCCTGTACCGCAACACAAAATCTTTACAAATACTGTGGCCGTTATTTTCAATTTAATGAGCATCCACAAACGGCAACAACCAAGTATGGAATTTTACCCGATATGTGAGCAATAACATTTAACGTCACGTAAATATGAGGGGGGGTGGGGGGGGGGAAGCCAAGAAAAAAACACAAAGCTGCACTATTATTAATCCTATTAAGTGTGGTAGAACCATGCATGTCAATGATACATTATTCCGTGTTGGGATTTTATTTATTTATTACAAACTATACATTTCATGTCACAAAGAATGTAAATTACATTGTATTATGTTACGCTGGAGAGCAAATGCAGGGTAAGCTAGGTTAATTTTAGTATCACGTAATACTGGCTGTACCCCCCCACCCCTACATTTTCCCTTTTATGAGCAATGTTGCACAAATTAATGGATGGATATTTGAATGGATAGAGAAGTCTGTGCATTGGCAAATGGAATGAATTACAGAACTAATGCACAAATGAATAAGAGATTGCTTTAGCAACAAAAAAAAGAGCCATGTTATTTCAAAATCAAAAGTCGTCGACATCCAGACAAGGTGTAACGCCATTTTAGGGGCGTACAAAGCCTCAGGGTGTGTTTCCCAACCATCAATTGTGTGTGTGCATTACATCTTCCTGCAAGCAATTCATCACCGAGCAATGCTACGCGGAGAACAAATACATTGACAGACAAGATGAA